ATATTAACGAGTGTATAGTATATAGAGCTCAAACCGTGTGGGTTATCCCAAGTGCTTGGTTTTACAATATAAACACTACTGCCGTTTCTAATTCTGAAAACCAATAATACGGAGGCTTTGAGTATGTTTTTAAAACGAGCTTGAACCTGAAAGAATATTAATATGTTAGATATTGTTTCAAGTAGAAAGAGTAGCACAAAGGAAAATAAAAAAAAGTTCAGACAAAATAATTTGACAATGAGCTGATTTTGGGACGTATTAATCACTGGTACAATCCATCACGTTACGACAAGTTCGAAAAATCGGTAATTTTTAAGATATGCTCAATTTTCGCATCATTTTATTTGTAACAGTTTGATAACTCTAAAAATGGTTGTGACTTCAAAATACTAAGGACGGTTGTTATTTCCAAAAACTATATTTTGCATGTGAATATAAGTTGATAAAGTTTTCCGACGATGTATGATTCATTGCCTTATGACAATTTCAAAGAATCGACAATTTTATGTTATTTATAACCTTACACTCGATTTTCTCGTCGTTTTATTGGTAACAGTTTCATAACTTAAAAGAACAAGTGTGATTTTGAAAAAGCTTATTTTGCATGTGAAAGTAAGTTGATAGAGCTTTTCGACAATACACGATTCATCACGTTATAACAACTTCGAAAAATCAACGATTTTTAGGTCATTCTCGAATTTTCCACCATTTTATTCTTACCAGCCTTATAACTCAAAGGACTTATTTTTTGAAAATCATTTTCAACAAATGAAAGTAAGTTGATTGTGCTTTTCGATGATGTATAATCCATCACGTTACTATTACTTCAAAAAATTGATGATTTTTAGATTGCTCGATTTTTGAACCGTTTTATCCATAACAACTTCATGATTCAAAGAACTTTGTGCTTTCAAAAAAAGAAAAAAAAAAAAATAGTCACGTTTTGGGTGAACATTTCTTTCGCTTATAAGACATTTTCTCGCTTGTTTATGTCAAAATTGTTGAATAAGAACTTTTTCTCCAGCTAATTACATTAAAAACTCAACCTTATAAGCAGGACAAAATTTAAAGTAAAAACTAAATCGTATGGGACCCATGAAAGCAATGAAACATGGTAAAAAAGTAGAGTTCGTATTGGATAGTTGCTAGCTAAGGAAAAGCTTGTCTGACAATATATTGTGTGTGGACCAATTTTTTAAGTATTTCATGTGCAATTTCTCAACTTGTAAAATATGCAGAAAATTTTCGTTTTCCAATTTAGATCCATTAGTCTCTTTCAAGGATTTGGAATAGACAAATGAATAATTGAACCATCTAATCATATAAACTTGCCAAATATTGTAACTATTCACAAGTTGGTACATCATTAATGCTTAAATGAATTGCTTGAAACAATTTAAAATAATTCATTGCAATGCAATTTAACATGGATGCTATTTATTTTATGTAATAAAGAGCAAAAGACAATGTCAAGAGCTCGTTTAAATTATACTTAACATAGTAACTCGAAAAAATTTATATTTCTTTTGCAAATTTAGGTGTGGTCTTATTTTATTTTAGGAAAATAAAGGACAACTAGATATCATTATTAGTTGTAGATAGAAATGAAGATCTAACTCGAACTTGAGTATCCATTCGTTAAACATCAATATCATGTCGACCGAAAGATATTCAATTTCCATGTCATCTAAATAGAAATTCATAGAATACGTTATAGATGCTCTTATATTTTTGGTTTTAACAAGATTTTATATAAATCTAAAGGCCTTATTATTATACCCTAATACTTGATCTCGATTATCGAGAATACTATACGATATTGTTTCTAGAAATTAGTCCAAATTGAATAGGTGTCCTGATTGAATGAAGGTATAAAACATGAACATCTTGTAATTTTGAGACGCATAAACTTCTTTTCTATCAAATAACCAATTTTTAGAAAGACGAAAGATTCATTTCATTTTTCTAGGTTTATTTTGTCAATAGTTACGAAAGGTATGGAATCTAGAGTTACCTTTTTAGTGAAATGTTGAACAAATCAAAATTTCTTTTGAGTGATATTCAAGGAAAAGTACTATTTAAAATTTTATAAAATTAGACGAAATATATCTAGGGATAAAAAGAATACTTGTGAAACAATCAAGAAAGTTGTGTTGTCTAAATGGAACATATATCTCTGCGGTTAAAACTTGTCGGCATAATTAAAACAAAAATAGTTTCCCAACTGAAAATGTCCAGAATTTGGATGATGGGAACCCCATTTTTATTGAAAATGAATTTTACAATAGTGAGTTTTTCGAGCACGTGTGATTAAAAAGTAGAAAATATTTTATATTACATTCAAAATATTTTATTTTGAGAATATGTGGTTGAAAATGAATTTTTTTAATAATGAGAGTCAAACATGGGCAGTACAATATTGTTACATAAATAAAAATTTTGACTCTTTTCTGGGGTTAAAATATATGCTTGTTGTCGTGTCTATCTCCAGGTTACAATCTATGTTGCATGGAAACAGAAAATGAAAAGGGGCACAACACAAAATGAGAAAATGTTATTTTTGAAAAAAGTAAGACATGAAATGCTGAGAAATGATATCTTGAAATTATTAATTTAACTTCATAAAATTGATATTCAACTTCAAAAAAACTCTATAACATTAAATAACAAAAAATTTACAATCTATCAAATTTAACTAAGATCTTTGCATATAATCATTGTCATTTCAAAAGTCAAAATAATTACTGATAATGAATCGATACTCAAACTAAAAAAAATTATAAGTTCTCAAATCAAATTGCTTCAATTGCATTGTGACCATCAATATCTATAACACTATAACCAACATCATTGGATAACATGGCCTCCATCTCTGGTTCATCTAAAAAAAATATTTGCAATATCAAGCGTTCCAATATCTTCAAAAGAGTCAAATTGATCCCTAGCTATAGCTTACATTTTAGTTTTCTCGACAAACAATTAGAATTGGATAAAGGCAGCACAATAATTAGAAAATTTAGGTTTATGTTAAAATATAGCATTATAATAATTTTATATAATAAATAAAGTCCGTAATTTAAGTTAGTTTTATGCCAAAGTTCATAATTAAGTCAACTTTTGGTCTGAGCCCATGATTAAGTTTTTCTTTAGGTAAAAATTCTGGATTTTTCTCACAAAGTTCCCTAAAAGTTTCCATGAAGTTTTCATAGAGTTTTTGAATTTCACTAAAATAAATAAATAATAATAATAATAAAATTTCATGTATCATATGTTACAATGAATACTTGATCTAACAATCAAGAAATTTAGAGTTGTCTAAAAGTAACCATATGGTGTCTTGGCATGCGAAATGTATATTATTTACCTAATGAAAGTCCAAAATTTGGATGATGCTAGCAAACTACTAGATTATACATTTTTGGTAGACAAACCGAGAACTTGATGCTTCTTCTCTTTAGAATAATCTCAAGAAAATGTGAACTGAAAACCCTCAAAATTTCCTAAACAGAACGCCAATGCAGAGAACAGACAAGAAGACCAAGTCCCAACAGCCCGATTCTAATTAACTGAGAATAATAAGGTATCTATCTGGTAACATGTTTACATCTTTGTTAGTAACTAAGCAATCTGATGCAGACACATTTCCAATCAGAGGATTTCTGTATGTACAGCTGAAAACATTGATTAGACAATGGGCTTTCTGATTGCTTCCATGGGAAAATGTCCAAAAAGTAGTGGGCCCAATGACACAGTAGAGTGAGAAAACTGAGGCCCGATGGGCCCTGAGTGAATTTACTATGGCTGGAACTGATTGCATTTGTGTCCTTTTCTAACAACCTCACACCCATCACTTCCTTTTTGAGTGTCCCATTGCTCTCCCCCACTGAGGCTTGATCCAAGTTTTGCACATATTTAGTGTCTTGTGAGCCTGTTTATAGCTTAAAATCATCATGTCTAGCAGAAGATCAAGATTTACTGAGGATGAGATCAATGAACTCATCTTGAAATTACAGGTTCTGTTGCCAGATTCTAGTTCACGGTGCAAAACAAGGGTTAGTTCTATATTTACTTCTTTTATAAAACTTTCATTGAAGTGTTCTGCATTCAACATTTTAGGTAACATAAGTTAGACAACACTCAACAGTGATTACAAAGAAAAAAAAATGTGCTCAGAACATGCAATGATGCAAATGTAATGTTATTTTCATATCTGTGTTGAAAAAATGCAATTTCAAAGATTTGTCGCTTGCATTAGCAAAGAAAGTTACTTGCCTCTAAAGCTCGTTGTTTATTTTACATGTATATTAAAACTATAATTAAATGTCATTATTTACAAAAGATAAATGTGTTCGGGTTTTTAAACGAGTCTCATGAAATGTACCGATAATTTGTGGGTAGTTGTTGTAAATGTATTTTTTTTATTAAAGTTCGACGTTGACTCAAAATTATAAATTACTCAGAACGTTTCCCGAAAGACATCTTCTGGGTGCACCTAGTGATTCCTATTACCAGCAAACTTTTCGAAGATTACGCAATTTTTAGTGCTAAAATTTGTATTTCTTTTCTATAATATGCAATAGGTATCAGCATCAAAGATACTGAAGGAGACATGCAATTACATCAAGAAGCTGCAGAAAGATGTCGATGGTTTAAGCGAGAGACTTTCGGAACTTCTGGCTTCAAGGGACATCAGTGTTGTTGATGCAGATCTCCTCGCAAGTCTTCTTCGACATTGAATCCGATATATTATACTGTTCATTTATCCACTCGGTATATATCGATCTTCATGGTAAGGTGAAGGAAGAATTGCTGAAGTGACGTAGTAGCTAGAGTATTCTAAATCTATGTATTTTCTTGGAAAAAACAAAAAAAATCGTTATGACAAAATAATGTTAATTGGGTCCTGCACAACTTGAAACCTGTGTAAGATTTCTTACAGTATGTTTGGGAGTGATTTTTTTTTTTCCAAAAAATTGATTTTTTGATCGTTATTTCACTATTTCAACAGTCATATTTGACTTTTTCTCTCACATGTGAATCCTATTTTTCTTCCAACGATTAAAAAATCAATTCTCATAATCACTCTCAAACATGCTCTTATCACACAATGATTAAAATTAATATAAAGGGCACTACCGAATATTAAAAATATTTATAATGCAAGTAATTTAAATTGAATTCACCAACCAAATACGTCAGCCTAAAAGATATACGGATCCTT